CATAGTATAATAGGTCACCCAGTCGAGGTGGTATAGTTAATATAATAACTGCGCATGATAGTCGAAAGCAATGAGTGTTTGTATTAGAAAATATAACTCATTTCACCACTAAAAAAAACAACCTGCAATAGCTGACACCGTTTCTAGACTCCACTGATGATAGATCGCCGTATTTACAACATTGGTGTATCTATTTTAGCCATACAGTTTGATATTCCAATGCCGATGCGTACATACGTTCATCGCCTTATAAAATCTATTTTTCAAAATGTTTCGTATTAGAAGACATCGGAAAGAACAGCGTCAGAAGCCGAAAAAACGCAAAATTAGCCCCATTGAAAACATTCAGAATACGCAGTCATCTCGTGATACGCCTGTAGCAGGCGTAGGTGAACTACAGAGGTTTCAGAAAAAAAATGCTAACGACCCAGTCTATCACTCATATAAGCGATATACGTAGCCCTTATTCCCAAATGTGTCTAGAGGGATTAGGCATAAAGGAAGAGGTCTCATTCAGTTGGAACAAATAGGTACATACGATCATATGTAGGGCCGCTCCATGACTACAATACGCAACCTAAAACGAAAATAACGCTTCGTTAGCTACCTGTAAAGCAAAAATAATTTGTAAAATGCACACCGTTTATTGGAACTAAAATCTAGCTGCGGCTTACGATATATGCGGGCCTTTCCATTTTGTCTGTCGCCAAAGAGATGATCTTCCTGTCTTCACGCCGTATTGCACCCGAGTATCCTTTACTGCTGCTGTTGTGGCTGATAATTAGATAGCATTGTCGTCGTCGTCGATTGGTGCGGGTAAGAAATATCTTCCTTGACAATGATGAATCAACAAACCCATAAAATTCGAAATAATTATTCAACTTCAATGGAAACGACCGCTTTGACTTGTCCAAATATTAACGTCCGACCGAAAATCCGATCCGGCGTCAAAGACGTTCTCCCTCTCCAAGATAACACAAAATCGTATTAGGTAATTTAATTCATTATTTCGGTGTGGAGAAAGACACGCTTTCACTTAGATTTTGAACGCGCCGACCTACTTGTCGGCCAATTTTGCTGAACCAGAGACAGACGGTTTCACGTCCGTCTTGGTAGGAAAACAAAGTGTAACCAATAAGATGGTGGGTACAATTTTCCAAACAACAAGCGTGTCGCATCTTGCAATCACAGAAACTCCACACAGCGGCGTGAGCGTCCATCAAGTGCTATCCCCTCCAGCAATTCTAAGCGCACCTAGAATCAAACGCATCGTTAGCCCACCCATCGCCGAAATCAGGCAGTTGAATCTATAGAAATCCATAGGCGCATTCCTTTCATATGGACAGCAACTACTCTAAAAGGCGACTAAGAGACAACTCTCGGTGATAATGTCCAACTTCAGCGCGCTAAGTTTTTTGGCAGTAGAAATAAACTGAGTGCCTAAATGTTGTTACTGGCCTTGTTTGACATCTGAACTAGACCGTAAGTAGCGTGTCCTAAAACGACCCCAGGAGGAGTATTCAAGGTGATGTCTAAACGCCGCTCGACGACACACATCGCCCATGGTAGAATGCAATCTAGCCCTATCAGCCATTCGCGACCTACGTGCTAGATCCATCTAGATGGACAATGACGCCGATCCGATCAAGTGGCTTGCGAGGGTGCAATGGTAGCAGTCGTACACAGCAGTGACGGGATGGGTGCATCCCAACTAGTAATCCTGTCAATGGCACCGCTTCCTGTTTCGTCAATCGCAGCAAGCATCCGACAACTCAACGATCTTGCGCTATAGGTTACATCAACGAAGATAATTTGTCCAGGGTGAACATTGTACGTTGAAGTTTTGCTCAGGAAAGTTAGTTCACCATGACCCGCCGCCATTGTCGTCGTCGTACGAAAAAGCAGTCGTAAACACAAGCACGGAAATGAAGACGGTCGCAAAGAGCAAACATCGCCAAGATGCGCAAACAGCGTCATCTCAGACGGACAATTCCACTAATATGAGACGCTAGAAAATTGAAAGGATAAGCAAGGCCACAACATTGCGCGTCCTATTACCACACGAATGACCACATCAATTTGAAAACAAGACGAAAACGAGGAAAAATTAATAACAACGTCGGCGCCCACGATGAGACCTGTGACATACTTTTTAATATGTCATTTGCATAATACAGTCACGATTCGTAGCATGTAAACGAAACGTTTGTTTAAGTATTATATTAAGTAGTTATTATTAAATAGTATAATAAACAAGTATAAACTAGTAGAGTAAGTGCGGTGTTGTTGCTATATTCACTTGAGGTAACAGAGGCTAAGGAATCGAAGAACAACCTCGATCGATTGTCTGACTATCTCAATGTGTCTGCAAAAATTAAATGCTTATTTGTCTACTTGTTCACGTTAGATGGTCTTCGTAAAGTGGCCAGCCTGAAGTCGTCCTTGCAGCCTGGTAGGGTGGTGACCCTGAGATCGCCAGCTGGTCGGATAATTATGTTTTAGAAACTACTTTATGCGCCACCGACCTTTCCGGTGATTTGCTTGACAGCCCTTGACAATTTTTGTAAGTGTTTGACAAACAATTTTGAGACTGGGAAATGTTACTGTGGTTTTTTGGCAAAATGATTTCGATTTGTTGGAATATGTTGATGTAGAATCTGAGCAATGGAATAATTAAAGACTATTACGATTACAAGAACGTTGCAGTAGGGGGCGAAACTACAATAAGGACTTCAAGTTAGGTGCATCGAGCGCACTGCCAGTAGCAGTTAGCCTTACATATATAAGTGAAGTAAGGTTTGTGTGAATTGATGTTAGCAAGTTAGAGCCTCATATGCGTCGTCATTCAAATTAGTGCACATATCGTCAATCAACTTTTATAAAAGTCCTGCCTCTAATCGAAATAGTCCCCTCTCCCGTATGGCTTACTCCCATTTGGACGCAACTATAAAACAGGTGCCCAGTCTCTAAAAAAAAAGGCTTCGAAAAATGCCTTCAAGAGATATCACTAACATTTTCATACTCTTTACATGCATAGGGTGGTCACCTATGCAAACTCGCTTCGGTACAAACCAACGTTTGTAAAATTCTCACAAAAGCTCAATCTTAAACAACGCCTGCTGGGTATCAATAATCAATTGCCTGCTTATTAACGAATCATATCATCAGGTGATGCTGGTCTACCGCCAAACAAAGCGGACCCTTTACAATTTTTGATCAAGCACAGTGTGCGGGTATTCTTCAACCTTACTTAATACTTCTTGCTATAATCATACATACTCGTAATAAAAAGTGTAGAATATCAGCTGACGTTAAACTTGCCAAGACCTGTTGCCGGCCATAAAAATGTACGAGTAGTACGTTAGCGTAATAGTTAAGGTAACAGGATTGAGCGGTTTGGACGGAAGTATAACTAGGTGATTTTACGATAAGGATGGTAGAATTGACTTGTGTTTGTACTTTTTTAGAGCTTTAGAGCCGAGCTCGGTTGTTTACTTGTCCGGACACTATCGAGGCACAAGGATGGGCTAGCCGCAAATAAGTGAAGGGGTCTATGGGAAAATAGATTACTTCAACGGAATGACAGGACTATGAAATCAAGATTCGTTCGTTGGATATTTAGGATAATAGCTTAATACAATGGAGTAATAATAATGACGAGGAAAACAGAAATGGTGTAGCCGAATAGTCATTATGTGTTAATATAATTATGTGTTACTAATAGAGTTTAAGGAGGTAAAGTTCTCGATCAGCAGTCAAGCCACAGTACATGTTAGGAAACTAGGTGTAAAATGGTCAGATCAATCAACGACTAAGCTCAGTCTAATCCGCTGTTAAAGGTAGTATTTATTTGAAACGAATTGGGTTATTTCAATACCGATACGTGGCAGTGGGATAGCACAGGTGTAAAACTACTAGAGGTACAAGAGTCAAGTACTGTTAAATCAATACAAACAATCAAGTTCATAATCAAATTTTTACCAAACATCCGGATACACAATGGGAAACAATTTTATATTAACTGTATACGGCGTTGCCTCTCTAATCTTCACAGTCGATCCCGAATGAAACTTTCCAAAATTAACTACAAATGCAACTAAGACAGATTTTTTCCATAAGGAGGAAATGTTTGTCATTTCACCCTTGGATATATTGATTAAACTAGAATCTCTTCTTCGCTACTTCTTAAATAAGTGTTTAGAATGTTATGCTCGCTTTGATATGATTGCACCAGTCTCTTTATGTTTCTAGTTTTAGGTCCGTTATTACCATTAGGCCTGCACTCCATCAGACAGACAGACAGATGGACGGACGGCTGGTTGGCACCCAGTCATCGCGAAACGAAGTCAGTCTTACGTTATTCACTAAGCTATCACGGGGACTTTTATTATTATTATTAAAAATTAGTATTAATATTTTCTATATTAATTCATAATTAAGTAAAACCAAACCGAATTCCCTCGGTTTGCGCGCGACAACAGCTGTAAAATCTTGAACAATGAGGAACAATGTTGTCAAGCTAGGTTAGTTTATCATGACGAATACGACTCAAGGAGTTTGCCTTTGGGACCAGTCTCATTATTCTCCCACTAGGGCCCCACTTGGTTAAGTAGTATAGTAAAAATCTTAGTTATTTTTTGCGGTATATGCTACAACCCTTCTCTGTTAACTCTGTTGAATTCAACTATACTTATTAGATCAAATATGGTCATTGTCGAATCTAGGTAAAAATCATCCTTATCTGCTGGTATTTGATATACGTATGACTGTAGTGGGGTCATCAAGCAGTATAGATTTATCCTATCAACTTCTGTTTTATAGTTGCTGCAACTTAAAAAATTTCGAACGCTTCTTTAGCGTCTGAGTCGTGCTCGAGAACTTGGCAGGCAACCGAACTGCTGTAGTCCTTGAGAGATTAAATTTATAGTATACGTGGAAGTTACCTGCTGAACTGTGGTCGTGCTTCCTATAAATGGAGCCATAGAATATGCTGGCATTTCATGCGTCAGTGGTCGATACAAGGGTATAGGTGCAGAAACGTGTGCATAAACTTGTACGAGCGGTGCGAAGACAAGATCGTATTTTTGCTGGAAATCTTAAGCAAACATGGAGAGGAGCTTTACATATGCTGTAAGTCTGCGCTCGATTCTAGGTTAATTTACGTAAAAATCGTGTGCTGTTTACTTTCAACTAATTAGGTGTTGCTTTTAGTTTGGACGCTGTCGTCTTACAAAGGTCTTCGTAATACCCATATGTGTCTGGTAATCTAAATGTCTCAACTCTGTTATACTTTGAACATGAAGCCTCTTCAGCTCGCCTGCCCCTGTTACAGACGTATCATAAAGTGCGGGCTGCGTATCTTTAATGCCTTCAGTAGGACCTATTTTGGGTTACTTAGGTTTCTGATTCAGTTGTTTCTTAGTAAAAGACACTTTTGAGAAGTTTAAGAATGAGGTGATTAAAATCTACGCTACAGAATATCGTAACTGTAAGGCTAAAATAGGCACGAGGCGATTTGTCGTGAGCACAGTAGAGAAATAGTTGTAGATTCGCGTTGAGAGTGAAGCCTTACAGGTTCTAGTACAAGCACTCACTCATTGCCTTCAATTCTCATACATAATGACCATGCCAAACTACACAATTCAAACTGAAATGTTTATATAGAATTTTATCCCACTAACAAATTGTTTCTTACGTGTTATTGATAGATGCTGGTTTGCGCAATTTTTACGCTGATAGCTCAAATGATTGGTGCGGATAGTGGCCTACAAGTAGGACGTGAAGGTAAGCAGTTACGATTTTAGTATTCAGAAGTATTAAGGAAAGAATAGGCTTACTTATAGCCTCGCCGTAAACTACTACCTCATACTGTACCTCCCCATACAGCTAGCCCTTTACATCTATAATAATATCAAACCTAGGCTTGGTCGGGTATCTTCCTCCTCCTCCTCCTCCACAGTAGGCTGTATAGGTCTGATTTCATAGACTGGGCTACCCGGAAGGGCAAACTCAAAATTTAAAAGTTTGTGAAAAATTAACCGTACTTTATTCACACCGAAAACGAAAAGGTATTTAATAAACGAGCAAGGATATAATAAACGAATAAGGACATGAAACGATCAAGAAGAGCACATGAGGGTCTTATGGCGAAAAATATATCAAAACGCAGGCATATAATAGTCAATTATTAAAATACAATTATATAATTGTATTTTTCATTGTACGCGCAGTGACAGGTAGACATTCAGGCGTGACTGGCGATAAACGGTGAGTTCCATGTTATTCTAATTGCAACTTCTGAAGGGTTAATTATTATAAACTGCATTGATACTTCATTATTTGCACTTACTGAAAGCATACAGAAACCTTCCTCCAAAAAAAATTCCATCTATAATATAATAAAAATTGTTAATCACAATTATCACTTACAATTTATCAATTATTATTTATTATCAATTACAACAAGTTTTTTTACTTATAAAAACATAAAAAATAGAGCTATAAAAGAGTTATAAAAATAGAGCAAAACTAGCTCCCTGCGGATGTTTCATTCCGGCGATTATCCCTGAACATAAAAGCATCGTCTCTGATAGCGCTAATTATTTTCTAACCAAGAAAGAAAGAAAGGGAACAATATCTAAATCACGATCAATTAATAAAATCCGAAATCTTGCGATTACCTACAGGGATGACACAGTGACTGCAAGTGGATATGCAGCGACCGTTATACCAATACAACGTATAGTAAAAGTCCATTTAAATTCTATATCATATATATATATGTATTTACAAATACAGATTGACAAGAGACTCGCGTGCCACTCTGTGTGTGGGTATGTGTGTGTGTATGTATGTGGGTGTGTGGGTGTCTGTGTGTGTGCGTGTGTGCATGTATATAAGTTGACACTGAAGGAAGGTACACGATTTAACTACAATTTTGTATTAATCAAAGTAATAGCATTAGCACTATAGGCACATCACAGTTTTGCCAAAACGGACTCTGTGCGTAATGTAATGCCGAAGACTAATCAAGGACTTACCTTTGTGAACAAGAACGATGTCCAGATCACTCCAAATTGGCAAGTTTTTGTAGTGTTTGGAACGATTCAAAGTCCAGCGGATGTTTCAAAAATGCAATGGGAAAACAAAAGTGTGCACCAAATTTTGTCTTAAAGACAAGATTGCAAATGCTCAAGTGGCTGCAGTGACCTTCCAGGATGAAACTATGACAAAAACTAAATTTGCAAATAGTTAAAACGATCTTACGCCTCATGGGAGTTCATTAACGATCGTCATTTTATTTAAGCGCTAATCATGATTTCTTCAATGTGAAGATTTGGCTTTATTCTAAGATATTTATTAGAGCTACTTAATCATTTTCAGATTCATATTGGCGTTAGCAATTCCCCCCGTGTCCAGCAAGCGACAGGTATCGCTCCCATTTTTTTAGCGAGCAAATATGACTTTTTTTTAATTGTAACCACGTAATTTATGCATTGCCCTTATTAATCATCTTATGCCCTCAACAAGCGCTGACCCTGCAAATGAGTTGCTTCCTTCAGGCTCCCGAAAGAGGTGATCTTCTGCGGATTTTTGGATAGTCTCATGGAAAGTATTGCACGATGCCTAAATATTAGCTCAAACTGAGCCTTGGTTAGAGTTACCCTACGCATAGGACTGGTGGTGAAGGCGATACTTGGAAAAGCGCCGACAGCAATGGTTAATGGAAACGCGACCGGTCGCTGTAGTGTAAAATCCTCTGGGTAGCGCAACAATCAAATACCAAGTGAAAAACCATTTTGCGTCGCCAATGGCAGATGAGCTTATCTATACATAAATATCCTGAGGAAACGTCAAGAGCACGGTTCTTAAGATATCGCTGGTCAGGTCAACACGTACAAATCAGGTACAGTAATTTACGAATACGAAGATGAACAGGGCTGCAAAATTTGAACCCAGGAAGTCGCGGCCTATCATGCTTGCCTTCCGTCCGACGCAAACACGCAGCATAGCCTCGTGCAAAATCGCTCTTTCGCGACATGGCAGGCTTGAAATAGAATATCTCAGCTATTTGTTGATATTTCCTTGAAACCCCAAGGTGTGCTTATGTTGTTGCTTTCGTTGAAACGCACAAAGCCAACGGGATGACTTAACCAATATGCTCATTCTTCCGGTGATATAAAGCTCTGTCTCTGAGTACAGTGAAATCGTGAGGTTTCCCTGTGAGCGCGCCTCCAACCTACCAGGGAAAACTTGTATTTTTGTAATTATTTTTGTCATTGCTATTGATTCACCGTAGCACTGATGAATCACAACGGCTTAATCCTACACAGCCAACAAGGGTTTCTGAATCCCACAGTGGAGACACTTTAACGCCTTCAGTAAAACCCGTAGGAACTGGCAATATGTTTTGGATTCACTGCTAAAGCAACACCTGTTCTCGGCCCTGAAAGGGCACGCTATCTTTATTTGAATTGGTAGAAGTCAGCTTGTCGATAGCTACTAGCTAATAAGTCTTTGTTGTATATTTGGGGTTATAGTAGTGCAGTACTTCAACATGTGCTAAGCAACTCAACGGAAACGCGCGCTAAGTATAAATGCAATCGAAGGACTATCCTGATGACGTCCTACTGTGAGCACAACCGGACTGGATTCTTTGGTGTTGCTTTCGCAAACTTCCTGAGAATGATACCTTTCTTACAAAGATTTTTCCTCGATTGAATACCATGTGAAGGTCCGCTGTCCTCGGCGGACAGCATAGTCCGAACAGCAAGACATCGTCCCACCGTTGTGTCCGAGTGTAAGCCACGATGGATGCCGATTCGTTCCTGAATGAATGTTTGAGAGACCCATGTCGTCGAACTGCTGACACTTGCCGGTTGCGTCATGCTGCAAGAGAACTACGTTAATTTCTCCGTGAACGCTTGCAGGACTCGTCATCCCTTTACCTCGGGTTCCGAATGATGCTCAGATTGCTTGGCCACTGGCTGCATTCCGTCGGCTTATCTTTCACTAACTTGTAGCTATTCTAAGATTTCCACAGAATAATTTTTGACGAAATTTCTGTGACCGTAAAGCCAGTTACTGGCATTTTCAGTTTGGAGTCAATTAAATTTAAAAACCATGATAACAGCTTTGAGGGACTGCTAAAAAAGGTTCATCAGGTACGTATGAACAAAACCAATGTTCACCATATACAAATCTACGCCAAGGGGAGCTAATTTTTATTTAGGATCAACATTGGAAAGCTAAAAAAAATCAAGGCGGTACGCTAAGTGATTTCTAGAAATTTTCGTGGCAGTATTAGCTGTCGGTTGTTAGTGCTCACCGTGTTTGACTTTCATTATCACGTTCGCAATCTTTTGTAGGGGCTCTGTGCATGGTTTCAGCTCTGGACTTAGTTTTGGAGCATCACTTGGCGGGGGTTTCGGAGGATTCCGTGGCAGCGAAGTACCAGAAGTCGGTGCCGAAGGTTACGCTAGGCGAGCAAGCGTAGGCACCGAAAAATATGAAAAAGCGTCATCAACAAGTGCAGGATATCAGTCGGTTTCAATCACGCAATCGGGATAGTATTTTCCTCGAAAGGATTGAATAAATCTAAAAAGAAATGTATTGCGACAACAGTAGTGCGTCTGATGCGTAGCTTACTATGGTTCAATGCGCTGTCATTTGCTCCGTCTGCTGGCTAAAAACTTTCTGACCTCTTTCTACTCGTAAGTAAAGAGAATTGCACCAAGCTCTAATTTGCGATATAGATGAATGAACATAGAGCTTTCACTTTAACCAATTAACTGAAGCATCGCTTCATACCGTCTATGTTCTAGTTGATGTGCGTACGGTTCTGTAGAAGTTAAGCTTTTCTTAACTTAATAAAAGAACTCTTAAATCTGGCGATGCAACTATGTCGGAGGTCTATGTATTGCCATTCGGTTAGTGGTCGTATCATACAAGACTAAACCGATCCTTCGTTTTTCTTATGTCGTGTTTTTATTATATTGGAGCCCAGCTAACTATTAAATACGGTTTTTGATAAAATATATAGATATGAAATCGGTGTAATAAGTTTGCTTAAGCCAACAGCAAAAATCGTTGTCCATCATTAAGTCCTGTTCGTTAGAGGGCAATTCTGATGCTTCTTACACATATGTAGCTTTACGTGTATTGGTCGTAGTTGATTAATTGGATAAAAGTTATTCGAATGAGAACGGGCCTTAGGCACAAATGTCAAATATTCAGCCGCTGACAAATCAATATTAAACTAGTATGAGGTAGAGCTCACGGCCTTGAATTATGCAAGCTCGTCAGTAATACAGAGCACAGTTCAGGGCAATATGACGAATCTTATTGATGCTATAAAGAGAGCGAAAAGAAATTAGGCAAGTTGCTGGCATTTTTTTTTAATATTAAAAATACATCTTTCTAGAGTTGAAAGCTCTCACGAAATCTTCTCTGAACTCTAAATCTTTAGAACGCGTAAGCTTTCACAGACTCACTATGTTGTTGAACGTTACATATGAAATGTGATTACATAATTAGCAAAATGATGAGCCTAGAGAGCAAAAAGTTTTTTTTAGGGAAAGTCTTGGTTTTTTTTCTTCATAACTATGTTGTAAATATGGGGAAATAAATTGCACTTCATCTCAGACTCATGACAATGACCGGCTATAAATAAGATTATCTACGAACACAGGTAGGCACTCACTATGTTAGAGATTGCTTGCCCTAAAACCAAACACAGCAGCAGCGAAAACGCTCCGCAGGCCAGAGCTTGCAGGCTGCTGAATCACCTGTAACAGACACCATCAGAACTGACTTGGTCAGAGGCAGCAAGTAGGCCTTTCGGACAATCCCAGATCTATGATGTCACCATTGTACCAGAGTGTTATACACGTATCAGAAAAGTGCTAAAAATTCTAGGTGGAAAGGCTAAAGCAAATACTCTACAAGGCGCAAAATTTGTTTATACATTAAAAGATAACAATTAATGATCGACGTTGTGTTTTACCATTGGAAAGCTTTGTATCTACATAGCTAGCAAAAAACTAGTTTCTCAAGAAAATGATTCTTTTCCTGCAGCGAAGATTAAGTCGGAATGAATTTTTCTGAGGTAGTAAAAGAGCTCTTGTTGACTCAAGGGAAGGATTACTTGAACTTGACTATAGACATGACAATAGTCACTTCAAGCACTTACTGTGACAACATTCTACCTGTAAGCTGTTTAAATAATTCCGTTTAAATTTTTGCACACGAGAAACGTTGGTTACAATACTGGAAGGTAAGAGCCTGTTTTGTTGGCCTCAATAAACAACGATCGCTTGATCTTAACGCAGCCGCTTTTAGATCGCCCGTCATAACAGAAAATAATTTTAATTGTTAAAAACCTGTTATGGTGATATTTTCGGATCTCCTATTACCATATAATTCTACTGATAACCTCAGATAGATTTCGTAATGAAAGCGTATGGCGTCTGCTACGTATAACACGGTTACAGAATGACTATACTTACTCGGAAAAAATAATCTGTAAAAATTGAGATCGCACTGTTCCATAAACCCCAGCTTCCAATATTAAAACGAGTATTACTATTTCGCAGTTTTATTGGTTTCGCCCTAAAAAATTTTGGAAAACTGGTATTTTGAAACTGCCCATGTACAGTTTCAATGCAGTCATGCGTGCTGTGGCTTTGGCCGCTAAACCTTCGAACGAATAGTCAGAGGTTGTTGGTTCAAGCCACGCTACTAACGTGCACTACACGACACGTGTAAATAAATAATAATAAATAAAAAAAAGATCTAGCTATTTATTTTCATTACGTAAACTTGTACGGAAGACATAAAACAATGCAGAGTTCCACGACGCTATGTGAATCGCAAAGAGTGTTCTAAAGGATCCGGTTAAGGTCGCACCAGAATGACCTAAAGTCTCAGTGTGAGTCCCAATTGGCTTTGACCAAAGTTATGCTAGGGACAATCAATCTGCCAAAAATGTAGGGTTAGCATGAAGAAATTTCATCGCGTTCCTTCCACTTTGTTGGTCTTTTAGACACTTTGCATTGCGATAAGCAATTGACTTATTATTGTTCGTTCGGATTGTTTGAACGACAAAAACAAATGGCTTAGAGTATTGTGATATTATGCAAAGCATAGGACGTCTAGTGAAGCTTACGTATTAGAGAGTGGATTGTATCCGTAACTTCATTGCTTGCTTCAAGCATCAGTTATCGCTGTTTTTGTCTATCACTTGTTCGCAGTTGTCATATTCCAAAAAACCGTACACAATATATTTTTTTGCATTGGACGAGTATAAGGAGAGTAAGAATCACAGTTTACTGAGTACCCTAACAATATCACATTTATCGTGATTAGATTTGTAGAACAGCGTATAAGAACCAGCTTGGTCGGTGTACAAGCCTTAAACGTGTTGCATTTTCAATGTTCCCATTTAAAGCGATACATTTCTTTATCAACTATAAATTCTTTGAAACACGCAATGAGCATTCCAAGCCTAGAAATAATTCGAATTTCACCATCATATATTTACTATATTCTTCTGCTACTTATTTTGAGAATGTTTCTGATTGTAGCCTTATTTGATATTTTTATTTCACAGACAATGGGTAATGCAGACGCTGTAATCTTTACCGCATTTCAGTCGGCGCAACTTTCTATTAAACGCAACCCTCGAGCCCCATTCTCAAACGTTCCCGATGATATTCTTCCGCGTGATATCATAACGCTATACACTGTAGTTAAAACCTTGGGATAAAGTGGGTATGTACTTAAACAGACCGGAACTCTGGCACGTTCAAAAGGTGAGGTATAAGCAAAACGACTGTAAGAAAAACACTTCATCATATTTGTGCTATAGCTGGCGATAGTCGGTCAGCAGAAATCGCCATACTATAAGCAGCCATATTATAATAATGTCGTATGAGCTCAACTGTTCCTCACCCGTGATGGGGGGAGGCTCAGGTAAAGTCTTTTATGTCAATTCTTGTAGCGTCCAGACATCGAACTCCTTTTTGTATCTATGTGTCTCCAAATAATTTAAAACTGTTTAACGGTAAATGTTTAGTCTCTTGAAAATGCCTTAGCTACTCACGTGCCGGTTTGACGAAACTTGCACGACTATAGCTTCAATAACTTTTTTTGGTACTTAGTTGACCGCTACGAAAAGCATATTTAGCATCGAAATTTCTAGAACGAAGGCGACAGAACCATCGTAGGCACGTTTCATGCAATTGCGCATTTTCATCATAAAAAGCGCAAATGTCTTCATGAGACTGGGCGGAATGTATGCCTTTGTTGCACTATAACTGTAAAAGATGGCATTTTAGTTTCAAACCCTTACTTGTCTTCATAACGTCTTATCTTAATCCTAACTACTGCTAAATCTCAGCTTTGAAATGATGCTAACTCCCTGCCGCGACTTGTATTACTTGAGATATATGACTGAAAAGTCATATAGTTAGAAAAGCTGTCGATATTTTTGTTGAGAACCTATATATAGCATATATATGTATATACAAACGGATAAGCCTCTAACCCTTTATTTCTTATTCTCTTCTGCCTTGGCCTAGCCAACATTATGTTGCGTAAAATACAACGAGTAGTAACATTTCAAAACGATTGTATTCGCATCCTTCAATCTTCAAACGATTACAAAAGTAACTCACTATTTACGCATTGTACATACTGCACTCTTCCTTTTACTTAGAATGCAGTTATAAATACTTATTATTATATCTTATGCAGTTATAAACACCTCAAGATATCGATGGTCCATCAGGGAAACGTAACCGACTTTATTTTTTTATGAACCGGGTAGACGTCAGCTATTTTCACTTGGCTCACTTTCAATAAATGCCTCTTGGTCTAACGTTTCCGGATCTACCTCATCCAGTATCTCTTGTTTGATTTCCTAAAAATGATGAATAAATAGCTTAATTGACGTATGCTAGATCCATATAAGTCTTCCTGGATTTGGCATCTAAGTATTATCGATTGCTAGGTGCCTAAACCACCATTTTCGGAATTGTACAATAACTATTTCGAAAAAAAAAAGCATCCCATTAAGCTGTCGTAGTAGTAATATAACTATGGGAACCAACACAGAATTATCAATTTTGCTTAATTACGCCAGTCTATTTTATAGCACTGACAGTCACCTTACACTGTGGTTAGGTATAATTCAGCACTGAGACTCTGATTCTCGCTTTCTCGCTAAATGAAGAATTCTGAATGATTCATGGTCACAACTATTTGAATATTTTTTAGATAACTTTACATCAAATGAAAACGTATACTTTGCAGTTAATAAAACTTTGGAGGTGTCCACAGTTGAACCATAACATGAAAAATGTTTTTATTTATAATAAAATAATACTAGTTACAATTACTTTACTACGAAAGCAGTCTATACGGGGCAATTACTGGCTAATTCGCGCTTTTCCATATTATAAAACTTGAACTTCTTAAATTGGTGATAGCAGTTATTTCTACCTCTTTCGGACTTTTCCATATTCAAATCTCGCTGTAATATGTAGAACGCAGAAGTTTTACTTATCCCAAGGGCCTTTGCTATGGCATTAGCTCCAATTTGAGGATTTATCTGCACCATTTTGCGCACAGCTTTTACATTAGTTTCATCTTAAACTGTTCTTGGCCGACCTGCCCGCGCTCCATCCCTAGTGCTAGTACGACCCAACCTAAAATCAGACATCCAGCGGTGAATTGTTGACGACGAGAGAGAAAAGGTACCCAATGTTGAATCCAATTCCACTTTTATATCTGTTGCCCGAAAACCTTTCAAGTAGAAATATTTAATCACGCAGCGAATTTCTTCTTTCTCCATTTCAAACACACTATTATTTGTAGGCCCGCCTTGTTTAGCTGTGAAGTTCACAATAAGTGACCAATTGACTCGAAATTTCAACCATTTCAATTCGAAATTTCAAGCATACAATAATGATAAAATGTCATCAAAGCATAATGATAGGCCAGTGGCGCCATCCGTAAATGACCCCCCGGGACTTTTTGAACCGCTTTGTCTTATTGAATTCGCTTTATCTCAGAATTGTCTTATATGAGAAAGAAAAATTCCCGCATACACGTTTTGATTGAATGTTTACCTTGGCTTGCCGCTCAAGCTGAAATTTTTAGTTTTGAAGCGATTAAACCAGAACTCGCAAGTCGTGTCGCTTACTGCAGCTTCGCAAACAATTCTCTTTGTTTCTACAGCATTTTTTCCAGCACGAAAGTGATGAAAAAGACAATGCAGAATATGCATCTTCTCGTACTCATGACTAAACGCGCCCAGTAACCACTTCGAATAACTCTAACAGCGCAATGAAAACAACAGGCAGTCATCCTGTGAAGCTTCAGCTATATACGACGAGCCAACAGATGACGCTAGCGCCATCTGTCGGTTTCAACGGGAACTTGTTTTCAATCTAATATTTGTCGTCATCTATCTTTTTTGTTATGAACAACATAAGATACTTGATCAAATTTAGCGAACTCATCGTATAATTCGAGTTTTCCATCAGTACATAACAAGTATGCCAAATGGAAAAGTTGATGAAATAACGACCGCACCTATAAGTAGATTATCTAATATATGCAGACTGGCGCAAAAAGAGCCGATTGTCAAAATACTGTACGATGAATTAAAGCCCATTTTATTCTCCCAACTTGATTGTTTCTTCGAAATCAGCTTATCATAGACAGTACGAAGAGGAAAGATAATAAGTGGATGAGATCCTTTCCATATTCTGGTCGCAGCGAACCACTACTGTGTGTCTAAACTACAGTGTCTTTCGTTTCTAACGTAATGCTCAATGGCTCCAGTATCGGATATAAAACATGCAAAAGCCTGTGTGTCCTTGTTTACGAATATATCATTCAATAGGTACATAAACGTTTCCAGTTTTGCATCTGGATAAGACAGCTGGCTTCTTAGCATAAACCGAAATGTGTCTACATATAGTCCTAAATACTTTAATTTGTTTTTTCTTCTATATAAATGTGGGCTTTGTCTTATGGGTCACTAGGTTATCGCGATTATCAACCATATCATCACGATTATGGTAACAGGTGCAACGTTATTTTAGTTCTCAGTCCAGTCACCTACTGTCGCTACAAAACAATATATGACAGAGTCACAGAAAGTACGCTTTCAACCGAAATGTTTTAAATAGCTGGTTCAGTGTTTATAAATACCCTCGGTTATGCGGCCAGCTAAAGCTTATAAAAATTGTAAGTTTTTGAATTTATATGGATTTTTTGAAAATTACGTATATAATAAATTAACCGCTGACATTATTGGTGGTTCTACCGACCAAACATTTTAGGAATAAAGTTGTACCATACGCAGCTACCGTTACAGTTGATAGCAAGCCTAATATGGATTACTGCCATGTCATTTACTAATCCGAGGCAGGTAGGTGTGGTTTAATTTTACTGCAGTGATTTGCTCGCTCATTTTACGCTTAGCGAAAATCAAATCTAGAATTAACAATCTATTTGGAAGAGAAAAATCTGAGTTAATAGAAACATGTATGAAGTAATCCTTAAAAAAAAAACTAGTCTAAAAGTGATTTAGCTAATTTACATATATCCGAGTAAGCGCATCCAAAAGAACATTTAAAGGGCTTCGTGAACTCCTCCTTATGTGAATAAGCTGTCGCTTATAGCACTTAAGGGCACAGTTCATAAGCACGCGTTTCATAAGCAAAATGCCTTTAAAATTTAAACACAGGTTGTTTGCCAATGGAAAGGTAGTTAGCTCTAATTTAACCGAGATCATTGTGTGCTTTATGTGTAGATACTACGAAGTTATTTGCCAGGACTAAATTTTCGAAAAAGCTGATTGACCTTCAACTTGAATCTAGTCCTCCCGCACACAGTGAGTTTCCAATTAAAGACATTCGTTTAAACTTTCGCGCCAGTCGGTTCGCTTCACGAGGAAAGGCTCTTGAAGAGAGCAAAATGGCTTGTAGGCATGCATTCACAATCAATTCATTACCAGTCATTATTAACCCTGAATATATTCGATTCGAATGGAAAATGGAATTTCAGAAGGATCATTTGCATCATATAGCATTTTTTTGGCGTAAAAGAAAAGCATAGCATAGACCATCGATATTATATCCAGAATACATGGACCCTCCACAATTACTAAACCCAGCGTTCAGAGATGGTCCGCGCATTTAAAAAAAAAAAGTGTTTCATCGGGAACAATTAGGCACGCGCTGCTCCCATTTAGAGGAACAAAAAAATTGGCAGCACATAATGGGTTCTTTTTTGGTGGGTCATTCAGTCAGACACTTGGGGAACAAATGGAGCTGAAATTAGATGTGCCTACAAAAAACGTTCCTATGGGCGCTGAGAGAAGCGACAATTATATAATTACATACCTTTAAACAGGTTGAACCTCTTCTCTGAACTGTTAGACTAAAATGTCTACTTATCGCTGATTTATAAAAGCCCATTTATTTCAATATGTGCTAAAATGTATCATATGATTGTTATTATGATAATCAATTTACATACAAAATTCTTAGATCTCAATGAATTGTGACGTTAGAAAATTCAGAGAAATGTAACAAAATAATACCATTAATCAATTTTGCGCCTCTGCCGTAAAGTTAAATACACTTGATCTGGTGGCATAAATAGTGAACGGAATTGGAGAACGAGGAGTAATACCAGCCAGTAACAATGGCTGTAGCTTATTATCCATTAACAAACATTAGGAAAATATTAGAAAGATATCATCTAACATATTAACTAAAGCTAATACATGAATATTAGGCGGTCCGATAGCCTGCAGTACAGCAACGCTCACATTAGTTTGCCAGTAAAGTGCGTCCGTTTATTCGTTGCAATACTTTACCCATCAAAGGAGAAAGGGTTCTGGGTAGGAGAGGGGCGTTTTCTCCACACACATTAACATTGCCTTTATTATTATCTAACTACCAGAGAATTTAGTCTGCTTCACAAAAAGCAGAGTTCCAGAACAAAGATTTTTAACTGGCCCAAAGGAAAAAGTGTGGCGGACTCTGTTGGTACTACATGGTAAACCGTTTAACTGAAAGCTATTCTTGGCGAAAAGCCCGTCGCGTCAGATATGCGTTTATCCGCTATTACTGAAAGTAAAGAAAGCACTTGTTCGAGGCAGAACGTAAATAGCCGGCAAGCATGGCGAAGGCAGAAAATTCGTCTCTAGAATATGAGCAAGAATTAACAGTTGTAATATCTCTCCGAGCCGGACGGAGCCCCGAGGACATTATAGACTTTCTTGGCTACCCTGAAGCGGCCGTTAATGCCATTGCAAATCAGTACGCTGCAGCTACCGCGGCAGATGCATTCAGTACATTGAAACAGAAGGTCGCCATCAGAAAGAAAACCTTGCAAATGAGCAAAAAGGTGCATTTTTTCCTTCTAATTACTGAGTCGTCTTAGGCAATCAACAAAATGCATTAATGGGAGTTTATTATTCTGTAAGCCATCGATTCATAAAAGCTCGAACTTTGAACTTTGGTTCTTTGTAACATCTGGTTTATGACAGGTAAACAATGTTAAGAATTAATTAGGCGGTAAATGTAAAGTAGGATTCAGTTAGTTCCAGCAAAAAAAAAAACTAGAAAATACGAACAAAGTGTCATGGACTAAGGATAATTGCTGACTGTATGCTGATATTTCATAACCTATGGCACATTAATGGTACGGTACGTCAATAAAGTACCAAAAGAGCGGATAAGTTGCATGAGTGAGTAACAGCATGAAGGTGCTGTTACTCGTTAAATATGTACTGATGACATAATTGTACATATGTGGAGCAATCATCGTGGAAATTTCAGTCATGGTAGTTGTTTAATACTCATTTGTGTCAACTAACGTTAGAAGTCCTGAGAAGATGAAAAAATTAGAGTGTTGAGGTGTCATTGAATTCTTGCATTCGAAAGGCCTTACGCCCACTTAAATGAAAACTGCGATAGACACTGTTTACAGGGAATCTGCGTCAACTTTGAACAACTGAATTTAAAGGTGGCTCTAGGAGCTTGGTTGACGATAAACGTATGGGACAACCAGAAACTACAACCACCATCGATAACATCAAAAAATTTCACCAATGATGATTGTCGAATGAAGGTTAGGAAAGTAGCAGAGGCTGTGGGCATTTAGCGTTTGTCACACGTAATTCTAACTAACTACACAAGGGCACATTTTTTATTTCTCAATATGTAATATGTTAATACAATCTAATATATTAACGACGTTACATTGGCCCTCTAGTCTAAAGCCCGGAAGGTTTTTGTACCACCTGTAAACGATTCCTCCAGCTCAGAAGTAAAGGAGTTCTTACAAGAGTCTTCCGATCAATATAAACGAAGCCATCCGCACAATAGCACTGAGTACAGCTCCAGGAGGAAGTCAGACCCCAGGCTGCCAGATGTAAGACATCGGAAGGTACCTCGCCAAGAGCAGCAAGGCTCATCAACAATGGCAGTATCTAGCGAGCAATTGCCGATTCCGTCAGTTACGGTCGCAAACTCTGCAAGACGTGATCAGTCGTACTCAAAAGCCAACAGGATCAGAATCCTTAACCGGCGTCGCTCACAACCACCATCATCAACTGTCGGAACAAGTCTTGACTATTTTGGAGCCTCGGACACACAGAACGCCGAACTCGAATCAGCGATAAAAGATGAAATTAAAGAAGAAGTTGTTGATCCAGAGAATGGCAACCAACAATTCGTTATGGCCACCGAACATGAACAACAGGTAAGTGTCTGAAAAACGTTTAGGTCTATTATACTAGTTAAATCCGCATTTATGTCAAGAAAAAATTCATTAATTCTTTTGTAATCTGATTAAAATGTGCGTAGTATCTAAATAATGGCTAATACCTGTTGATATTTATGTATATTCAGATATTATACCTACGGGAGGTTCAATCGGAAGTTAATTATTTCAAGTTTTTCGTATTTTACACCCATTACTTAAGCTGTTACTCACCACTTGAGACAGAGAAATTAGTTATTCGAGTAACCACCAAGCCACCATTTACATTTCCAATGTGCCATCCAGGATAAATAAATAAATAAACAAAAAACTCTATCAATATAACACTTCCAGGTAATTTGTAATGGCGCGGAAAGTTGGCGGGGGAACGGGTTACCAGATTTCGTGTTGTCACATATTAAACAAGTTAGTTCTTATTCTGCCTTATTTGCATTCCATCCAGTTGTGTCTCTGTAATAATTGTAAGTCAGATAAGATTTTATAAGGTTAAATATGCATACGTAGTTCTAGTTTGTTGTCACTTGACAAATGTGATATTGTCAGTCATAGGGCAAGATTATTAGTGTTATCATTGTGTTATGCACAATTCAATCTGAGCTGTTCTAGCTAATACCGCTTTCGATTTCTGCGCTCTGTAGAAGAATATTAAGTGTAATGATAATGGATTTTAAAGCCAATATTATGTCCTATGTTTTATAGATTAATTTAAAATTTTTCATCTAACTTCTCTAATACCGGTCCCTTCATATCTCAAATTTTTTAAAGGATGTGGTGTGCTTGACCAATACTGGATCGAAACGTATTCACCAGGAAACTTCTGCAATGCAGATTCATATGTTTATCTGTTTTCTTTTTCGTTTCGACCTCTTTTCGTGAGAAAAAATTTTAAATACTTTACCTTTTGCCTTTTTTTTACTTCCCATATAACCATAATGTAACAATTCGTGTTAAATTAGCCATAAATTCTCAGTACGTTTCTTGAAACTTTGAACATTTTCAGAAACTTTCAAAGTGTAGAGGTTTTTAGAATTTTTCATGTTTTTAAACAAATATAAGAGATTTAATTGGAGTTTACTGTAATAGTATTATTCAAAAAGTAAATGATAGTCCAAAAAATGTAAATTATTTTTTAATGAAAAGGAAAACTTGCGATAAATGCAGCTATATGGGACAAGCAGAAACTGCAATCACCACCGACAACATCAAAAGATGTGTTAGGAAACATATGGATATGCACTGATGATGATTTTGCTCTTGGGTTGGGCGTCGAGAAAGCTACTGAATGCAGCTGTAGTAAAAGTTCTATAACAAATACTTTTCGAGATAGTTGTCATCAAGCAATGGCCAAAGGTACCAAAAAAATTGCATATTAATTTGAAAAATGTCAATTAAGGAAAATAAACGTAAGATCCTTTTTTTTTTTTTAAATACTAAGTATTAAGATATCTGTCGACTCAGATGGGCTTTGGGCTTCTCTTTCCTCAGATCAATTCAAATTTTTGTGGTAATCTCGTAGGAAATCTAACATTATTGGATGAGAAGCATACGGGCAATGTTGCTTATATAGTTTTTTCGCTATACCTGGCCATTGTTAGGATATCTATAATAGCAAAAAGCGAATGAGTAATTGTCCGATATGTATACAATTGCAAAGGAAATCACGTAATATAAAAAATGTAAAATGTAAAACGCCAAAACGTTATACTAGTTTTGGATAAGAAATGAGTGGCATTCGTTACCATTCATAAATAACAGTTATATTTATCGAGTTCAATAACGGAGACGAACAACAAAGAGAACTCAAGTACGCAAGAACGAATGCATTTGTTTTTCAATAACAGAACTCTCAGCAATCACGAGCGGTTATATTGTTTTTTGGCAAACCATTACCAAGTAACGTGTTTTTGACGAACTTTACATTCAGGAACTTTGCGCCAAGAATTCACCAGCTTATTGCCGTAATACTGAAAATTTTGTTCACGAGTCGTGTCGTGATATATTGTGAAGCACAAACAGTTTATATTAGAAATCGAATTTTTGAATATTTAATAAATTTCAGGAGATTAAGTCGGAGATACTCGATGAAGTAGCCCCGGAAGCATTTGACGATGGATTAACACATCCAGTTGTCATTAAAACTGAACCTAAAGATAACGATGAAAACCTTTTAGGAATTTAATCGGTTCTTAAAGGTGTTTTATGGTGTTCAATAATCTAAGAGAAAGATGTATTTTTACCTATATTATAACTGAAATAAGAACGCTTGTTAATAGTAATGCATAATATGAATATTTGTTTGAATTGCAAACCTTGACGCAATTTGAGGTATTTTCTGTATATAAATATACTTCGTGCATATATGTTGCCGGATTAATAACCTACATTTATACAAAGACAGACAGTGAAATAAACTATACACCTTGTACTAATTAAAGGATAACTGTAATATCTTATTATAATACTTTATTATTACTGAAAACGCACACAGAAATTAATAGCCGTGGATGTACGAATTTCTTATATTGCTTTATTTGTTCGTTCGTAATATCAGAAAAAGTTCTGACACAAATAGTAGATCGACCTACTTGAAGGTTCTTGCTAAGAATATATTAATTTCCGAAATACGGTGACATCATTGAATGTAGCCCATGTTCTGTAGTGAGTGTATACGCAGTGAAAAATATTTGGTCGTATAACATATGCACCTTCATATACGCGGGTGAAACCGTTGCAAGGAATCGTATGCTGTTCTATTTTTCAGAGATCTCTAATTTTTTTGATATATCAAATCATACTGGTCTAAACAGCAATAGGTTTTTATTTGAAAATTATTTGAGGGTTTGTTTGACATGAAGATGTGGATAAGCCTGTGAAAGGAGTTCGAAAAGTTCACTGTGCCACGTTTCTTACCAAGAAAGCTAAACGTTTTAATGAAAAGTACAACCACTTTGTTTCACTTTCATCGAAAACTACCGCTCGAATGGGCTAGTTGTTTGAATAATTTAGTGGTCTGTCTTTCAACGAGCATTTAAGTAATAATAACATGTGTTTCATAAGTAACTCTGTACATAAGCAGCACAGAGCAACCAAGAAGAACTAAAAGGAAAGTCTACAAAGAGTTATTTCAAAAAATGTCGAGTCAAAATTTGAATTGCTGCTAAGATTTCAAGCAATATTTTTCCATATTTTACCTTTCTTTACATACACTATTCAAGTTACTACTTAATTACTTTAATGTGAGCAAATTACACTCGGACAATTTTTATGCTTGGAATAATGAACTACTATATTATCGCTGCAATATCGACGCCAATTGTCTCATTGGCATTAGCAGATGAAGAGACGCTCGCAGGTTAACATAGTTATTTTCACATAATATAAAAAAAGTCTTGACATCCTGTAGCGGTCCTTTTAAACATTATTCAATCTGTCATTATAGAAGAACTTTGTGTTGAAATGCAAAAGCAATTCTAAATATCTGTAAGGAAGTTCTTCGAAACCAAGAACAATGTCCTCTAGGACAAAAGCTAACGACGAAGATGAATAAAAACCGTGACAATCCATAAACCCTCCAGCTTCTAAATACAGAAAGCAAACAATGTATCTTAAAAATGTCTACCAAAATTTCGAAAGAATTTTTTATAATCGTTTTTATTAGTTATTATTTAAGCTATCACAGTCAAAAAAAGTAAGAACTTAATAAGTAATTATTCAGTGCTGTTTAAATGACTTAAGTGCTGTTCACATAACTAGTGCAAAAGAAGTTCCTCGAAAAAACGATTGCTCTTCTTTCCAAAAAGATGAGATTGTTATATGAGTTGTTCAAATTAATGAAGCAACGCTTGAAAAAGACTTATTGGATTATTCACGCGGTTGACCTACAAAATTGTCAGAGAGAAAGGAAGAGAGAAGGCTTTTCAGAGTGGCACCTTGTCACGAATTAAAGGACAGTAATCAGCGAGTACAGGTTAGTTCGACGACAGCTTTCCGAAGATGAGGGGTACTGAACGGTTTAAGCCTTGCGGATACGCCCGCGATATTTCTGTAGACGTTTCTGTAAATGCAGAAGTCAGATCTGTTGAGATTTTGTATCGTTGAAAAGGGCAAAAAAAGCTGGTTGACATCATAGGTCAAGTGTATGCGATGTCCGAGTCACTCCGGAACTCTTTACAGTTTTTAGTGCTGAAACACAGGGCGTCCCCAAGCGAAGCGGAGTAGACAAAGTCGGTTTAGCAAGCAGAAAATTACATCGTTTAAGCACGAGGTTGCCTAAAAAATCCTTAGCGAAAGTCTACGAATATAATTCAGTCCTTTAATTCGGGAATCATTCGTCACCTGAGGAACGTCTGTTGGTAAGTTTCGGCGTGAAGCGTCCCGATTGTCGCAAATGAACAGCACACATGCGCAGCACCTTCAAACAAACTAGAAAAAAGTGTCGCTTCCACAAAAAGGCATATTTTCTGCTTCAAGTTGCGCTCGTCAACCTAAGGTAAAACTTTCAGTGTTTCAGGTTTAACATCCAGTACCGCCCTTAAACATTGCTTTAGACGACTGCCTCCCTCCAGTATCCACGCTTGGTTTTAAATCCAGACGACCTTTGCTTTTCAGTTTCATAGCCAAACACGTTACCCAGTGCATTATTACGAAGACAACAGACGTATACCTGGATTAGAGAAGGTGTCTTGTCAACGGAAAGTCGCAATGGCGGCCACTGGTTTCAACGGCTTCAGAACTTCTCATAACTGCTGGCATTAAAAGATGGATTGCAAAGTAAATGTAAGAAGCGCATACGGCATTATTGTACTTCACTATATTGCGATCATAATAGTGCTACTAAGAACATTAGCAAGAGCAGCAGAGACGCCTGATTTTTACAGGTCGTGATGTAGACCTTGACCCAAGCTATCTGGCCCTGCCCAATGCGAATACAAGACCCGAATCGATAAATAACTTTTTCGTACTTATCTTGAGAACAATTATGTTTAGGAAAATATGTGAGTGTTAGCTTTTATAAATGCTACGATTTTCTCGATTTCTGCATCAATTTCTTCTTCCCTTGAATCCATTCGAATTTGATTTTAAATTCATTCATTAAACATTTTAAGTTTATATAAAGTTTTATATATAAAAATATTTTAAAGCCTTTTTAAAGTCCCTTTTTTACTATTTTAATGTTTTTGTTATTGCTGTCTCCTGTTTGACTTTATTCCTCAAAAGCTATAATCAGCTTAAAATATATACAGTGGCCACATTCGACAGCTTCCCCTCAGTCTAGGGAAAAAGTGACAGCAATGCATATAGAGATATTCACCTATTTTGTTTGCATTATCGGATTATTTTTAACTAATAATTGTGAATAATTCCCTTTTTGACTTGCCTTCGTGTAAATTTTTGTAAGATGCTTAGTAGGGAAACTGGAAAAAATATGTAAAAACTTTTTTTTGCTTCTTATCAAGACACCTATCGACAGGGGTAGGTTTCAAAGATTTTTTCCATAGATAACAAATGTTTGCAGAGGAAAGGGTAGCGCCTAGAAAAAAAAAGTCAGTTTTTTTTTGTAGACGTGCTAAGATTACCAATAATGTATTTTTTCATGTTCATGACGAGTGAGGACCCACTTATATATATATATATATATATACATATATATAATTGTATTCAAATTCAGACAAATTTGACGAACATCCGTTCATCCGCTATTTTTTGCCATTGTAAAGAACCTGGTTTTTTTCTAGAGCAAGACCACGAATCTACAACGGTGGAAAACAATGTGTCGTTATAAAAAACCGCTACTACGCAATATTTTTACTTGAAATCATCAGTCTATATTATTGCCAGCTGTAGTTCGGCTTCCGAGAAATTCAAGAAACATTTTTGTGGAGCAAACCTCAACAATGTTTAAACTGAATGGTACCAAAAAAAACCTAAAAAACGAAAAAAAAGTAATTTCTTTTTTTTCTTTTTTAATATAAAAAATAACTATCTTACTGTGTTTGAGCTGATCATTAACTGCTGATTGGGGCGTCCAGGTAAGCTCCATCGGCTAGAGCTTTTTGAGACTTCCTGCACTTCTTTGCGCGTTTTAAACTTTATGATTGCTTTAAGCTCCTACATTTTTAAACTTTTGGTCTGCTCTCAGCCCAAAATTCAATTCCAGTGGAACCTTTTTTATTCAGCATATTTGAGCGACACTTAAAGAAATGACTGCCTATCAGTATCACTTGACACACGATTACTACTAAAGTTGCAAATTAAAAAAGGAATATTTTGAAAATTACTAATGAGTGGTTTAATTCCGAATAGTGGTGGGTGGTTGTTATTTAGAATAAAGATACCCACAAGGAATAACGCCTTTTAAATTACTTAAAATACTCGTTTCTTAGTAAACACAGTCTTAAAGACAATTCATAACAAAGGTCCAAAGTTAGGTGCCTCATTCTGTTATATATGTATATGCATATATATATATACATATACATAAGCTAGTCGTGTAGTATCGGCTTCTCGCTTTCTCTCCCTTGAATTACAGTTAACTTCCATGATTATTCTTATTTTTCCCAGTTCATTTTTCTTCCCTTTTGCACTTTAATTTCCTCTCATTTTACTCATTATTCTGTTCAGACCATTCAATTAACTGCTCCATTCTCTACTCTCAATTTTTTTCTGGGGTGTTTCGAGATGCGTGACGCGCATGTGTCGCTAGTGACTGGCGAGTCTAATGTGAGGCCGCCGATTCTGAACAATCGGGATCGCACTAGCATTATTTCAATATTTTTCTTCTTTGTCTAGCCTGCGCAGGCTAGATCTCTAGGATCAGGATAACTCTCTAGTATCCTCCTTAGTAAGTAGTATCCTCCTTTTACCTAATATGCTAGTATTTTTCAGCCTTAGATATATAACATTAAATATCGCCTAACCAATGGGAATACTGTAAATGGTTACAAAATAAAATAGAGAATTCTTCGATTCAACAAGCTTCCGCGACGGTGAATTGCGCGTGTGAGTATTTCGGTAACCTAACTTGCCCCTACCAGAATAGCCCCGATTACGTTTGTCGTAACCTTGGGGCGCAATCTTAGTGGCACTGTCTCTATATGATGCTAGTTACTTTTCAAACTACCTACTTTTATTCAGTTTTCCCAGTTCGATGGCCTATGAAGCAGAAAAATTTTTGTGTGCATGGTCTAAAATATTCTTCACCTTGCCTAAGTTTCGGCTCTCAAAACACGAATGTATAATCAACGTTTTGCTTAGTTAAGTATCAAAGGAATGCTAACATATTTACCTGATAAATGTCATGTAAAAATGAATTTGATTGATTGCGACAAAGCAATGTTCTATGGACAAAGCAAAAGTTGAACTTATCGTATAAAGCAAAGAGACCACATGCCCAGAAGATGCTAAGAATATCAAAATATACTGTTTATTGCTTTGTTTAGTTATTTTTTTATTGTTGATAAACATTATAAGTATCTTAGCGCAGCAGAAATAAAAGCATGCATTCTTTCTGTTTAATATTATGTTATTCATATTAAGTGGGCGTCTATTGAACCTCTAATGCTACGTCTGTAATTACGTTTCATTAATGCTGATTATACACATTTAGTGAATGTTTGAGGATATCCAGAGGCGCAGCAATGTGTGCATCCCTAGTTCACATTCGCTGCACATAGCCTAATAAACTTTAAGTGATCATACGGCCATTGTAATATCTCGACGAACATGGTGACGAACCATTACGTAGAAGACTATCTCAAATCGTGAGGTTCGTAGGACCCGATTTGCTGAAACCAAAACCACTCAAAACTCTTCAGTATCACCTGTGCACGAGCGACATTTAATATCAGATGCTGTCTACCATCATTATTGAGAGAACAAGGTCGATTGTTGTCTTAAACCGCTTTCCGAATTGCATTCGTAGCACTGTGAACTACTCTCCGGTACTGAATTCCCTCCGGTACCGCGAGCCACTGCTTAGCAGTGTCTTTCGTCGCCCGTCATAGAAGGTTTGAGCGAAAACACTTTGTTGAGGTTTATAGTACACTTTTTATACTTTTATATATCTAAGCAGTTGCTTTATATTATACAATTGAAGCATACATAGATTTTTGGAGTAAAGAATTTTTAGAACAAACCACACACAATACGTTCTGTGCCCAACGCAGTAGAAAAATGGTGAGCACATCAGGTCCTCTCTGCTGCTTCTGTCGTTATTGTCATAAGCTGTTCGAACTGCCATGTGTTTAGATGTTTACAAACATCTCAAAACAGCGGGTGTTAGGTGAGTTTAGAACTCAGCTCTGTCACTCATGATGGAGCGATATACGCTCCCACAGAAGCTGTTATTTATAAAAACGTACTACAGCACAACGAGACCACATTCGTTTGCAGTAGCGGTGTCCAAGCTAAGAGAAATGCTTGAACCTGAGTTAGTTCCTACAGAAGATGTGCTTCGTGAGTTGATCCAGAAATTTCGAACAACTGGTTCAATAGTTAATGGACCTCCTCAGCTTCCGGCGCAAAAGCCGGCGGCAGTTAGAAAAATTGTAAGTTTCTGGAAGGCTTGCATACTATGCGACAATTTCAGAACGAGCGGAATAAATTACCGTTGATTGTTTATAAGTTGCATCCCAACGAAATAAAATTTGGATAGTAATTTTTGCACGTCTTGACAGATATCCCCGACGAAAGCGTTTATTTTGTATAATTGTTATTCATATCAATTACGGGTTCAGTTTCAGACTTAAACGGCGTGCAAGATATGTAGCAAAATGTATTATTAAAATTCGCCAATAAGTTTCCAATAGGAGCTGTAAGTTAGAGATCATTAGTACGCTCAGATTTGTCTCGCTCAGACGCGTCATCTGTGAAAGAGACCTGATGTGACAGTAGACACGTAAGCCTAGAAATCTCAAGAGGAAAAATGGCAAAGGAGTTGGAAAAAGGCTACCCTTTGTAATCTAGACGAACGGCGTTATAGGAAATAGATAACTTTATCTCAAAAGCAAATTCTAGTATTATTTAACAAAAATGGCTATTTGTTTCATCATAGTGGATTTCAGTCCTTCCAGATTAATTACTGTTATGGATTTTCCATTTTGGCGCACGGACTTTTTTCTTTAATACTTCAAAAGTCATATAATGGCAACGGAAAAACCGTCAATTTTATTAGTTTTCGATATCCAGGAAGCACCATTTTTCCTTCAGTTTCAAGAATAACGGATGAATGCATGCCCGTTGCGACAAAGAGCCCGCCAAACATATCTTACGATTTACGTAAAAGCGCTACCATCGAAATTGTTAATAATGGTTTTACCGATCAATAATTGGTAAGATAGTACTGTACCATGCGCAGTTATTACCATAATCAGTAAGGAAACTCAGAAATTAATTATTGTCGTGTCATTATGTTGAAGTACATAAATGCGGCGTCCATTATATAGCAATACATTTTTAAACTTACCTTATGCGCTACGAGAATTAAACTAAAACTTAAACATTAGCCTCTTTCTCTACTATCATTGCAATATTTTTAATAATATATTTGGAAGAGGAAGATTTAAATGAAAAAGAACATATTTTTTAGAATTTTAGAAAAAATTCATTCCAAGTAAATATGATCTTACATGGGGTTATCTTCCAAACGAAAAAACGCATTTAAACATTCAACGTGCTACTAGTTTTTTTATTATTTAAAAATAATGGAGCAGGGGTTTACGTCAATTTTTGCCACAGGAATGATATGATATGACGCTATTTAATGAAATGATGGTTATTTTTTGAAAACGCAACATTGTTTATAGCGCACTATTTGCTCCACATTAAGAGTTATGCTTTACGTAGGATGACAACAAGTAATTTCGTTCATCCTTAAAATAGGTTTTACTAGCAAGAACGTGATGTGCTTTGAACTCGGCACGTTTGTTCTCCGATTTACCCCTTCTCAACTGCATTATTTGTATGAGGCTGTCATACTACCGCTGTTTGTCTTTGAGGGTTCATAAGATGAATGCTTAAGAAGCTATATTCAACAATATCTCGTTTTTACTAGTATTACTACAACTAAAAACTGCGGCTAAAACTACAAGGATTGTATGTCAAAGGGGCGAGCAATCTGCAGTATTAAAAAGAGTGTGTCAAAACTGGCTTAGGCTATCCAGAAGTAAAGGCTTGGATTTGATTGTCAAGGTACAAAGTGCTCTCTTCAGTGAAGCTGAGATTCGGTCAAATCGAGTGCTTATTTCACAGATGGGAAGTACCAGTCGCATATTTGGCTTCATTTCCAAGCAATGGGACGCGTATAGAAATAACGTCCTAAGCTGTATTTAGGAAAATTTACTTCTCGACAATAATATTCATTAAGTTTTTTTTACATACACCTATGATTCAACAAGTGGTATTTGACACACGTAAGCATTTGAAAACAAAGTAATTGAGTTAATTTAAGAAATGGTGCACAAAAGAACTCAATAAAATATGAACAAATATCTAGAAAAGTCAAGATGATTAATTGAATTTATGATTTATTGCCAAAAACTACGAAGATCGCCATTTTGTTTATCTGTGTTCTTTTTATCCGTCCATTCTTGCAAAGCATTACACTCTGCAAGGCCGAAATGCATTGCATACCAATTTTGCGATATGTTAACGAGGTCTACATATATATCTTTCTTAGATTATTGTGAGAACCTTTATCATATCAACACTATCTAATATATTAACGGCATTACAATGTCCGACTAGGCCAACGTCCAGGAAGTAATTGTGCCACCCATAAGCGACTTCTCTAGCTCAGAAGAAGACGAGTTACCTCAGAAGTCTTTCGATCAGCACCAGTATCATGAAAGGTATCAAATTCAGAGTAATGGGTACACCTCTAGAAGAAAGTCAGACCCCAGATTGCCGGCGATGAGACCTTCAAAGGTACCTCGCCAAGAGCAGCAAGCCGTTTCTGCATCTACAGTAGTAGTATCTAGTCAACAATTGCCGATTTCTCAAATGACCGTCTCAGGTTCGATGCCATGTAGCGACCCGTATTCAGTCGACGCACCGATAGCTTTCATTGCAACTCTTGATTACCCCGAATCCGCGGACACAGAAAATGCCGAACTCGAACCATCTATAAAACTTGAAGTTAAAGAAGAAGTTGTTGAGCCAGAGGATAGTAACCAACAATTCGTTATGGCCACTAAACATGAACAACAGGTAGGCGTTTGAAGAACGCTTGAATTAATTGAACCAATCATACAAACAAACATTGATTCATGGCAAAAACAAATTAGTAAAACTCAACTTCGTATAATTCGTTAAGGTGAAGGTATAATTTGCACGGCACATAAACTATTCGGTACTTATGTAGAATTTTGTACACAATCATCAATTGTGTAGAATACACAATCACAAGCGAATTAGTTTAGCTACAAAGCAGTTATTTACATTTCCGATTGCATCATCTACAATGAATAATGAAGACCTTGTTAACAAATTGCTTTCAGATCTCTTGTAGTGGCGAGGAAAGTTATCAGGAGAGCGGGTTGCCAGATTTTACGTTGTCACAAATTAAACAGGTTTGTTTTTATTCTGTCTTCTTTGCACTCTTCTCAGTTTGCTCTCTCTAGCTATTGTGAGCCAGATACTGCAAGAGTAAATTATATTTCTTATTAAACCTTTTTTTTCTCATACCAACACGTCTCAGCTTTTCTCCCTATCTCTCGAACCGTTTCAAATTAGATGTTATTTTCGACAAATAATAACCTTAGTACATTCACCAAGAAACTTTTGCAAACTGCAGTACACTGTACATGTTCTCATGCATCATCGAATAACTATTGCAATGCATATTAGCATAATCACCATTTCATTTGTTCCAAGTTTTTTTTTGGTGGAAAATATGTTCTTGATATTGCAAACATTTTGGCCGTTATTTACGTGCATAATGATCACGCTGCACTTACCTATGCCAGCTTTGTGGTCATTTAATAATACATTTCGAAATCTTCATAGACGTACGTCAAAAATTTTCAAAATTTCGGAAACGTATGAAATCTTAATTTTTTAAAATAATATTGTTTTGGAAGTCAATAAAAGCAAAAATTGTTTTTTTTTTTTAACAAGAGGAGAATTTTCAGTAGATGCTAAATAAATTGTTGTAAGGTTGTAAGGTAATAAAAGATTGTTTTTCGGCTAAATATAAGGAGACATATTGAATGTAGCTGTGGAAAGATGCTATGGTATATATACTTCGAAATTATGATGGTTAAAAATTAACTGGAAATATTAATTAACTGGAAAAATATCGATTGAAGATTAATATAAGAGTATTTATTTATATTAAGATATTTAAGACTAATAAGATATGTATTAAATAAAATGGTTATTGAACCGCCTTTACTTAGGATGCGGGATGAGGTTTTTTTTTCATTAACGCTATTTTCAGTATATCTAAAATAGAAGAAAAACGAATGTAATAAATACGCCAAAAATATACTACTCTGTGGTCAGGAATTATGGTTGACTGTTTTATCAACAGCCGTACAGTTGTTTTTTAGGTACAGCTATAACAATAATTTTCATGCCATGTAGCGTTAATCCAAAGATGTACATTTGCTTTTCTATAATAGAGCAGCACGCAATCACGGATGTTAGAATTGTGAGCATCTCCAAGATTTGTGCTGAAAAGTCGTCAATTTACTAACATGAAAATATTGTTTACTACTGAACAGACTTAAAATATGGGTCATCTTGTGTTACATAGTAGTTTCTTTATTAGAGGTGCTAAACAGTTTCCCCTGCAATTTTAAATTTCAGGAGATCAAGTCGGAAGTCCTCGATGAAATACCGCCGGAAAGACTTGATCAGGGGTTAACAACTCCGATTATCGTTAAGATTGAACCCAAAGATAACGATGAAAACCTTTTAGGAATATAATTCTCCAGGGTGTTTTATATTGGCTAGTGATTTATCAGGAAAATGTATCTTACCTTTAAGCAACTGAAATAAGACTACTTGTGAATGATAACGTCTAATATGAATAATTTGAATTGCAAACATGGGGTGCAATTTGAGGTATCGTTTGTAAAAAGAAAACTTCGATATGTGTTAGCAATAAATATCAATCCAGGATTATTCGCACACATTCGCTCAAGGACGGGCAGTGAAATAAACTATGTACGTTATATTAATTAAAAGACGACTAGAATATCTTGTTATTATTATTTATTTAATAGGCTTGAGTGCGTCACAACTGCGCAAGGCAGATACCTGGTCATAGTTGTACCAGTTCTATATGTTACCTCATATGTTTGTGCGCTATATGAAAACGGGTTGCAAGATCTAAATAGTAGATCGATCTATTTGAGAGTCTTGGCTAGGACTTCATCAATTTTCGAGATGGGATATACTATGGACTACGAAAACTTAGCACAGGCCTTTCTATGAGGTGTAACATGTACAAATAAACGTCTGCCCGAAAAAATTACATTAGTGCACGACTGTATAAATGGGAAAACCGGTACAGGAAGTCGTATGATACTTTCAATTTTAGAAGCCCTAAACATACTTTAGTACTTTAAATCGATTATTATCTGTGTTATTGTAAAATTCGATTTGAAATCAGTTAAGCACATCGTATGCCATAATCATAAAAACGTCAAATTTACAAACCCCTTTCTAGATTCCCGCGCTGTGAGGAGAAAGGCTGTTCAGGCTGACTTTAACGGGCTACACGGCACCGCACTCAAATTGTCATTGGAACAAGATTAGAAAAATGTGGAGCGCCACGATATAGTCACGTCACTGTCTTCCAGTTTAACAGAATGAAGAAAATTGTATTCATAGTGGGTAATCAGTATTGGCAAACATGAACGGACTGCAGAGGGAAATCAATATGGCAACAACAAACGTGAAAGAATTGAACTCTTTGTTTTCACGATAAATACTATCTTTATGGAGTGGGTCACTGGCATTGATAGGCATTGAAATCTGTGGATTTGAGTACTCTTACGAACGTCGTAGAAAGTCGGCGTTTCCCGATTGATCACTCTAGACAGTACCATGAACGTTTGTTGTTTGCTACTGTTCTAGATGACCTGAAATTAATAATCGAGTAACATAATTACTACAACTCACTTAGAAGGCAGGAAAGGATTCTCTGTTTTTTTGTTCTACGTCGTTTAAACGTATTTTCGTGTAGTGACACATCTTGTAATTTAAAGCCTCATCGCTGGACACGAAATCCACATCCGACAGAAAATGATGAGGGTAAATTTCATTGGTTACTGGCTCGAATTTGAAGTCAATGATGAAATCGTGTTATAAGGGCTACATTATGGCAAACTTGTGAACTAGTTAGTTTGAGCTCACCATACATACACAATCAGCGAAAACATGAATGTTTGAACTAGAATTTTGGAATTTTTATGTTTTTAGTAACGGGTAAAACTTTACATTTTGTGGATGTTATGGAAAAGGCATTATATGGTTATGTTCATTTTAGCTGTGTTTTAATGATGTACGTTGAGAGCGACAATTGTGTGAGTACTTGTTTCTAAATATTTTTCTAACTGGTTTAAGTTTTACGCCCGGTAACACCATCTAGCGTCCCCGTAATGGACAAAGGGTATGCCGGTTGAACCATACGTGGTAGTCCATATTCCAGTCCTGATGTAGTCACACTTCGTTTCGTGCTGGCAGGAGCCAGCTCTCTAATACAAATACCTATTAGGGGTTACTAAGTGCCGTTACACGCTACAGGTTTTGTCTACACTTTAAATTAGATATTGGATTTCTCGACAGAAGAACAATATTGTGTCTTATGCCAATTAGTTGAGCTGCCCATTTTTTGACCTTTTCAATATTTGAGAGAAAAGTTTCACGTGTGGTGTGTTGCATTGATCGGAACAAATGTAGAAGGGTTTACAGTAGGTACGGGGAATAGGCTGATAGCGGAAAAAATCGTAACTGAACTTCTGCACCATTAATAGGTCGGTATATAAAGAAAAGCAATGATAAACGGGAGTGAATATCAATTTTCCATCGTCTAAATCTCAAAAAATTTAACTTCTATATTCATTGTCATCGGAGTGATCGTTTTCTCAACTTTTAATGCTACTACCATATTATACCTTTTATACTTTAGCGAGTAAAGAGCTCAACCTATACCAAGTGGAGGACTAATTATAAACGCAATTACAACTTTCAAGGAGCTGAGAATACTTTTTACTACGAAACAGAGTTACTGTAAAGGCTCAAAAACACTCAACAACGACTAATGGGATTTTACTTTAACTCAAAATTTGTGTCCGAGAATTGTGATCATGAGTGCCATTGGAAGGCGGCTATGTAAAAGCTCCTAAATGAACAATGAATGTCGTCTGATAACTGAATCTCACTGAAAAATATTCGCGTTTCAAAATGATATTGAAAGGATCCAACGGTGACCCCTGTAATGTACCGACAAACCTATGTTTGTATCAACGGCAAACAATAACGCAACCCGTTAATCTGTGAATTATGTCAATAGAGATGCTATCTGTATTATCTGTGTGAGGAAATTATTTTCTTTTCCGAGTTCCTGGGTTATGTGTAATGCTAAAGCTACATTTGGACAATATTACTGACACAAAATAGAGTGTCGCTGAATTACAACTTCAAAATCAATCACAAGTGGAACTTGAACTTGTTGATATTTTTGTGGGAGCTCATTTGAAAATTCAGAGAAAGTGATTTGTATAAACCCACCATGACATCGGCAGCAAGCAACCTTTGCCAAACACAACACATACACAACCATTTCCCCCTGCATAGCTTCGCTATGAATCTCATTAAACCATTCACTAAAGTGTAAATCGAGCGAAAAAAATCGCTTAATTGCTAGATGTCGTGTATTTCAAGTAAGTCAAACGATGGGTTTTTTCAACTTTACAACTCAACAACCTTATAATAGCATATCAGACGAATCTTGCATACGCTTCCAATTACCAATTCGTCTATGCTCAATTTGCATATCTTGTATAGCTAAATAATCAGCTTACTTGAGACTATCTGTCTATGAAGCTAGGACTACGTGTCTAAACCAGATCGTATGCCATGTATATAGATTCAAAAATGTATCAAATAAGTAAAAAAATCTTCTTGTATAGCTACGAATAGGTATTAGTCACAATGATGGCAGTTCACTTGACCCGGTCGTATGCATATTCGACCGAGCTCAACATAAAATTCAGCGAATGTATACGACACTTCCCTGGGCTTACATGTATTTATATGGTGTTTTTCGTTTGTATTAAGCATGTTTGCAAGATCCGTTTTGCTAACAGAACAGCAGCAGCGGCGCCGAGAGCGGCTATCCTCCTCCCCTTAGGAGCCTATCTTCCCTTCTTTCCATGGATACACTCCGGGTAGTTCTTTCTTCTTCCCTTTCAACCCTTTCTCAGCTGTCGAGGCAGTGCGGTACCTGAAAAAATGGGCGCTGGTGCAGCGGATAGCCAATTTATTTTCAGCTAAGTTCTCTACACATTTTTGTTCGCTCATCGTCAAAGGCAATTTCAGACTCGTTCTATAACAAAGCTGTATTGAGATAAAAAAAAAAAAAAAAAAAAGATACCTTTCCCAACCTTGGTCCTCCTTGACATCTTTCTCTGCTTTATTTTACTTTTCTAGTTTTGTGCAGTCTATCGGTGACCAGAACGAGAGAGCTATTTTGACGTGGGTTGAAGTTATTTTTGCCTACGGTTGAAAACCCGGTCTATACTCGTATACATTACTGCGGTACTTTAAAGCAGCGGCTGTAGCCATGTCTGACGTGAGGGTAAGAAAGATATTTAAAGATAAGTTAACAATGCATGTTATAATCACTACGATACTATTACTATAGGATTTAACATGCTTACTATTATTGTTATTATATGGATGCTCAATATAGTTGCGTGTGTGTGACGGGAACGAATTTATTGTTGTTTAGCTAGTAGGGTTCCTGGTGAATCGGCTTCCTAGTTTTACATATCGTAATGCATCATTTACAATCGATGTGTATCTTGCGATTTGTCGTGTTCAATTTTAAAATACAACCTGTTGGCATATGACACAAATTCGGGCTGAGAAGCATTCAGCCGTTAACGTTCCGAACAGCAATATAGGTTTAAGGGTAGAGTTAAAGCTCAGCCGGAAAGCTCCGTGTCGAGGGTAACGTTTTTGTCGAGAACTGAGTGTCTTCTTCTATAGGAAGTTAGCATATTTAACTGAATCGCACCAGATATCAGTGTTTCAAGCGATGCGTGTCGAAGTGTGTTATACATGAAAGTGAAACCGTGTCGATTATACCGAAGCCATATTGGTTGAGCATTTACATCCACCTTAAAGAGACTTCAGAGCTGAAAGATCTTCTCTTTAAATTTAACAACGAATGCTTTTCGAGCGTACCTATATCATGCCCAAGAGAGAATGTGGACGCTACATTTGTCAAAACAACATGTTTAATGCTATATAAATGTCTGAATCAAAGTCTCCAAATTGTGTACAATGCATATGATAGTAACTCACTTCAGGACTGTTAGTGTGAGGTAGCGAGTTTTTCGATAGCAAAAATCATGTGCAACATGTAGTATATAGTCAGTAAATGATATAAAGCGCTTTTACACAATACTCAATATCTATGCGGAGTAATAAATACAGATTTGGAAATGTGACGCGAGCATTTAATAGCTTATTATTAAACGCTTTCGTGATTTTGTTGGAAGTTAACCAGGCATAAAGAATGAAGACCTTACCTTGAAAATAATTAAGCATAGACAAAACCAAGTTTCAATTTATTGAGACACTCATTGATTCTTCTGCTTATTGAGAATGTAATATGAACATTACAGATACCGTTGGAAAAACGTAAAATGCGAAGCACGAGAGACCTTCAAAATAAATGACTTGCCCTTAGTGTCAAATAGTTGCAGCATTTTTCGCTTCAGATAGAATATAACAGAAATGCACCACAGCGACAGCTAGGCATATATTTTATACGTATAACTTTATATTCTGCTATACCAGATATGCACATCGAAATTACTGCCGACGACTATATCAAAACAGTTTAGACCAAAAATGTAGATTTTAGCTGTGCCGGTCATGCTGGACAAATCAAGCTTCCTACTCTCTAGCCACAATCACTCTGTTGTTTCTTTCCTCACAAAAGTCGATACTGAATTACGTTTTGCCTTCACAATCGTAAACTTCAACTCCGAAATTGCTTCCGCGAAGCTTAGGACGAATAATAATCCTTATTAGTATTGTGACACGATATAAAGAGCAAATAGTGACAGTTGAAGAAAACGTTTCAGAAAATATATATTTTGTAAGTATTGTGTTAAATCTAGTTTGAAAATATAGAATATCATTAAGTTCATCCTGGAGGTGAACTAATCTCATATTAGCTCCGAATGCATCCTTCCAGATAACATCTAACTTAACTAGATAAGATCTAAAACTTTTCGTTTCGAAGTTTAAGCTAGAAATTGGCATAATTGCGAGCATCCTATATGCACCAAGTGGGTTTTCTGCAAAGTATGATTATATCCTCAAATGCAATAGGCAAATCTTGAAAGCATGGTTTGCGTAATCTAGCGGAAGATGCGTATTTGGGAGTAGCAAAAAAGAATAGGACTGCATAAAAATTTAATGTCAACATTGAAGAAAAATAGCGCATCACTTACATTAAGAATAGACAGAGAATAGACAGACCTTTTGCTCAAAAGCATTACCGTTAATAGTCATCGATAACTTTTGGACTATCACCATGCTATACTGGGGCAAAAAATTTGTCACCACGAAAGCAATGTACGTTTATATATATATACAAATTAATGTTTGTTTGCTTTATTATAATCACATTTACCTCTTGTGAGGAAGATACCATTTGTTTATTTTCCGAAGTAAAATACGTGCGGTTAGGGCTAACAGAAGAATTCAGAAGGGAATGAACCTGCTAATAATTTTTATGGACCTTGTGTATAACTGTAAATATATATAT